TTCATCTCACTTGAAGAACGAGAACCCTGACGTTTTGTGCAATAAGACGATTTGTCTTGAAGTTAACAATCACATAAACTATATTTAGTGAACTACTTGCCTCTTCTTTATCTCGGTCGCGAACATCAAAGACAGCAAGTTTTAGTCTTGTTACCTCACTGTAATTTCCACCAGAAGGTATGCTTATAGTCGTCAAGAAATATGGGTGACGTTTTTGCTAAAACACAAGAAAATCCAACATGCACGCACAGAAAATTGGACAAAAACAGTATTGGAATAAAAATCGCCTCAACAGGTCCTGATCATGCTGTAATACCTCTATTATTTCAGTCTGTGCAAGTCTGGACCAAGTTGCTCCAGGAGGGGTCATAGTACTAACAACTATAACTGCATTTGGATATTTATTCTCCACAGTTGGTTTTAGATCATTGCAAGCTGTGTAATAAATTGACAATATTTAGCTTTACTTAACATATTGTTCAGAATGAGTTTTTCAAAATTCTATATATGCTAGAAAGTTATAATTTACATGAACATTACCCATGCTTATTTCCAGCAACGGAGGTTTGTGGAGCGGTTTTGGTGGTTTTGGAGGCTAAAATTTAACGAAAAAATATGATAAATCACGCCGCAAACACGTGATAGCAATATGTGCAGAAGGATTTTCTCATCGACGGATAGTTTTCCGCCAGCTAGAGGTTGCTGGCGGACGTATCAATCGATAATATTCACCAGGTTGTTTACTTAAGCCGCGTTTACACTACGTGCTTTGACCTGGCCTGGACTAGGCCTATATGTGAACGGTGTTTATACGGCCTAGCAGACAATGGAAGGTGGCCTGGACTAGGCCTGGACCTGACCTGGGGCAAGATTTTGGTAATGTGAACAGGCTTTACCTAGTCCTGACAAAATTTTAACTTAATAGTATGATTTGTATAGGATCCTTATAGTATTACCACTTTTCGGCATGTTTTGGGTCTTGTTCCAAGTATTTTGTCAATTACTTTGGCTATCAGATGTCATCAACAAGGAAGACAGTGTGAACGTAGCACATATTACCTAGACTTGTCCTGGACCCGGACCAGGTCAGGTCTAGGCCTGAAGTGTAAACGCTTAGTGAAGCACTAAAAGGCCAGTGGTTAACCTGGTTAAGATGGGCACAGGTATATACTTACGTAAACAATGCTTACCTCGCTATCGTTATCGTCACGAAATGGATGGTTATGCGGCAACGGGTGCTAAAATTAACAAAGGCAGTTTGCAATCCGCCGGATATATGCATAATAACTAGCTGTGGATAGACTTGACTTTCCATCCCACAGTTCATGCCCATGCCCAACACGGTATTGTTTATGATATTATTTACCTCACCAGTCATCTCGGTAATCTGTTCACATAGTTTTTGTAATTTTTCTTTGAGCTTTTCGTAGCTGCAAGAATCAATCATCATTATACTGCATAATCATGTAAGCTACGGTTCAATGAAAACTTAAAGGCTCGTTTTACTTTACACTTGCGATTTTTCCTGGGATTTTGTGTGTGATTTTCTTTTTTTGATAGATGTGAACGAGTAATTAGTTACGAATGCTCTTGTGTATAAAAGCTCCTATTTGAACATCAGTTACTTATTCACTCGTTCACATCTATCAAAAGAACAAAATCGCATATAGCTAAAATTGCAAGTGTAAACGGGCCTTAACACTAACCTTGCATTTTTTATATGTTTATTCCAGTCGTTATACTCAGCTTCGGAATTCGCCGCAAAATGGTAATGCTGTCCTTCGTCTTGTCTGTCGAACACTAGAAAATAGTAAACCTCCAAAAATAAGAGCCGCGTCGTGGATATAAAGGGCTATACATAATTTTCATTTCGAAGCCCCGCCCAAAAATTATGCTGTGTGTTCGTTGTTGCATTGTGCATGTGCATGACGACATTTGACGACGGCCTCAATCATATGGTAGTGAAACATAGCGCAAAACGTTTGTTTCCTGGGCACTGGGTTCGAACTGATAGGATAGAACTGATGATAGATAAAAAAATGGCCTTTGCATCGTCGTTTGGAGTTTATAAAAATATCGTATTTTGCATATCTGTTCTTTTTCATTCTCCTGAAAGCCTGGTCTGTCATGACGACAGGCCGGCGGGCAATACGATGAAAACAGAATATCACATTTTCACAAATTTTACTGATAAGAATGTGAACACATTTATTCACTGACAATGAAGCTCGTCAATGGCGCGACATGATGGCGGCTACCTCAAGTCACGTGGACGAGTTTGTAATCTCAAAAGTACACATTTTTTCTTGAAATGCAAATTTGTGACTTGAGGAAAAACTAGTAATATCTTTTGATTAATTAAATTAGACCCATCAATATATAGCCAATTTTGAAAACTTATAAGCTTGAAAAAATGTAATGGGAATACGTGAAATCCATATTATAGAAGCAGTGATGTTTCAAAGACAGCCGGAGAGACATGTATATAGATAGCATTTCCATATCAATATTGTCATATTTGCCAAGGGTCATTACGTCTCTATCTCATTTTTCTATTTAACCATCTGGCACTTAAGGCCATGTTACACGGTGCAATTTTTCTTGCAACTTGCAATGCAATTCTATTTCTAAGAGATGTAAATTAGTGAAGAGCCTTGCAGAAGTAAAATACATGAACTGTAAATAAACACAAGTTTCGTTGTTCCCAAATTAGGGCAAATACACATCTCTCAAAAGTAGAATTGCATTGCAAGTTGCAAGAAAAATTGCACCGTGTAACATGGCCTTTAGTCTTAGATGATAGGCCAAATAAAACAAAAATTATTCCAGGCTATCAAAAGTCAGTTTAAGCAATTATAGAGCTCTTGAAATGAAGAAACATGACGCGAAACGAAACATCTACAACACCAACTGCAGAATATTTGAAATATTGCGTTTGGGAGAATTTAGAGTTGTTACTTGTCACTGGCTTTCATTGCCGGCCGTGCTATATCAACCATGTTGTCTGTTTAACGTACAATTTCATACAAACGCTCTTGATAATAGTTCTCAACTACCTGGCTATCCATGCGTTTTGGAAATCGCCGCAGTTAAAGCGGAAAACTTCGTTTTTCGTTGTAATGGTTTTATCTTCAAACGACTTAGCAGCTGGACTAATCGCAGAACCGCTATTTTTGCTACATCTGAGCAGGGAAATACTTGGAAATGAAAGATGTCTTACTGTAATGACGAGTTACCTAGCAATTGATATACTTGTGACTGCATCAGTTGTCACGTTTTTTGCCCTTAATTTTGAAATATATTTGTCAGTCATACATCCAGTTTTTCATAGGGCAAAAGTAACGAATAGACGTATTTTCAAAATCGTTTCATTCCTTTGGTTTGTCCATTTGCTACGAGCCTACTTTTTTATATATTTCCTCGATCAAGGAACAGTGAAACTAATACGAACCGTATTTATAACAATAACTATGCTAGCAATGGTTTTTATGCATACAAGAATTTTTTTGGCAGTATATAACAGACGTAGGATTGACGTTATCACTGGTCTTTCAAACATTAAACGTCGAAAGGCTTTTCTGCAAGGAATACGCGATGCTAAAACATGCTTTTTGGTTTTGTTTTGTACATTCAGTTGCTATCTGCTTTCTGCCATTGAGGCTAGCTTGACGCCAAAAGCAACGTTTAAAGCAATCATTTTCAGTTCTTGGAGTACGACGCTTATTTTCTCATCATCAGTTTTTAATTCCATCTTGTTCTACTGGCGCAATAAGTTATTGCGGAAAGAAGCATTACGTTGTCTTCGAAAAAAATTTTCACACTGATATTTAAATATATATACTCATGTAAGATATTTTGAACGTAGCATTTTAACCTATTCATATATGTTTAATGTAATAATATTATGTAATGATATTTGAAATATTTGTGACAACGCGGGCACGTCAGCAAGATGAATCGAGGTCATTAATTAACCAGCAATAATATGCGATATTTCAACGTCGTATAAACACGCAGACATATTATGTGTAAGTGTATGTGTAAATGATATTCATTCTGTTCTTTGAAAATATATTTACGAGAATATAAGAGTTCTGTTCTATCATTAACTTGGAAACCGTTTGCAACACAGGTCGCAAGTTGGCAGTTTGATTTTTTGTGTAAATATCAATTTCGTGATTTGGGAGTGACTCTTTATACAATGCCTGATTTTTCAACAACTTATCTTATTAGGAAGTACTCACTGTGGACTGTTTGTGAATTGTGAGTGGAATTACTTGAATACTCACACAGATATACTGAGAAAGGGGGTGAGGCAGGGGGGGAGGAAGAAGAAACTGGTACAGATGGCAGGCATATACAAAGGTATAAATCAAATGTTTAATCAAACTGTTGTTGGAATAGTCCTTTTTCTAAAAACTTGGCTTTCTATATTTCAAGTAATGCAATGTAATAGATTTAAAATTTGTGAAAAATCTCTCCAGTAACACATAGAAAACCTCATTTACATTGTCTGCTTCAAAATTTCCTCTCAAGCCTCCTAAGATAAGAGAGCTTAATCTCCTCCAAAAATACCTTGTGAATGCCATCCGGCTGATAGGAAATATTGCTACAGGATTGGGCCCTCATAACAAAAATTTGACCCTGCCCCCAAAAATCTTCTGTGTGGCCTTGAATGAAAACAATCAATTGTTCGTATACCTAGAGTAAATGCATATTTCCTGGTAGAGTTTACATCTTTACTGATATTGCATCTCTCTAAAACCAACAAACCAGCAAGTTCAGAGGTCTAAAAAATAATATAAAACATTGAATGTATTGAACAATTTATTTATTGTAGTACAATGAACAATCACATGAATCATAAGTGCTTTGGTTATAGCAAATTTTCAAGTTGATTATCAATCGCATACATAGTGAAAGGAATTATATAAAGAGGCAATTATATATTCATAACAGATCAGTGTCAGTACCTTTTCACTTCCTTTACAATAAAATAAAAGATTTCCTTTTAATCTACACCATCTTTCTGTATATGCTGTTAAAAAACATACAGTATACTGTGTGACTGGTACTCACATCTTATTTCTGCTTACTTCAGTCATTGTGTTGTGTAAATATATACATAAAATAGACAATGTACTATGATAAGACCATTCTGTGAAACTTGGCAATTCAAGATTAGTGGAGTTCGATGTTTAGGGTCCCTGGGGATCGATATGTAGTATTTGCCTGTTAACTTTGCATCAAATTTGGTATAACAACTGCCTAGGTTTTTTGGCTATTGTAGGAAGTTGTTCTATCAAATTTGATATGAAGTTATTTGAGGATGCTGCCACGTTGCTCCCTGGTTATAATGAAGGCATTAGCCTATTAATAAGACATTAATTATTTAATCCTATAAATACTCTATATACAGTATATTGTGGCTTTCGTATGTCATGCATTTTCAGTCAAATCCAGAATGCACCTAACCACCCTCAAGCAAAATGCAGGTCTTCTGTATGCTAAATAAATACACATTTGTACACTCAACACCTGGGGTAACTTTGCTAAGTGTCAATATATATTAAAGCAAGTCAAACAAGGTACTGGTAGTAGTGAAGGAGTGCCAAAAGGGTAAATGCTTATGGTGCTCAGAGGGGTCTGTCTGCTGATTTTCCTCTCTTAATAGCATGAGATATATCAGTTAACAACAGTATTGTCACATTATCAAGAGTCAAGGAAGCGGAGAGCCAGTCAGCAAGAGCTGACCTCTTGCCCACTTTATCACGTAAACCGTATAGGGTGTAGAATGGTGGATATTATATCGAATAATATATAGTATAGCAATTCAGATATAGACAAACTATAAAAAGAACAAACTGTTTCCTGGAACAACACTTACACTCAGTTCGCTTCAAAAAAAAACCATCTCTTTCTTTCAACCACAATAAACCTTGAAGATCAAAAGTTTCAGCTGGTTGGAGAGCGATAAACGCTAATTCCTTTTGATTAAACCTCATATTAATAACACAGCCATATAACAGTTTTTTTATAGTTCTAGTTTATTTAAAACATATTGATATTGCTATGGTTCAACAGACATATTTAATGCAAATTATACGTATTTTATGTATAAAACAGGAAGTTTATATTGTCCACCAATCATAGGCGTACAGGCCTAGAAATTTTGGGGGGGAGGGGGATATTCTGCCGACGAGCACCGAAGACCAAGAAAAACAAGGATCTGCTCGGGTCTGCTCCCCCGGTATTTTGGAACATAAAATCGCTGAAATACCGAGTTTAGGCAGCGGCGTAGCCAGAGTCAGTGTTTTGGAGAGCTGAGATGCGAAAGCCGAAAGCGTGTGCCATACTAGGGGGGGGGGCGAAAATTTTTGAAAATTAGCGACCCGCAAATGTGATTTCCTGCATTTTCCGCGTGAGATTTTGCAGAATAAAGCATGTTTATTACTCCGCCTGCGTATGCGCAGCGGAGTCTTAAAATGCCATTGTCTTTTTTCCTTTTCGTCGTTTTGGGCGACAGAAGTTGGCATTTCTACAGGTAACCCAAAACATTTTGAGCAAGAAGCCTTGGGTTACATGCCCGGATGAATTATGTACATCAGTTGGCATTTATAGGGTTTTGGGGGTGATTTTGTGCAATGTTTATTTTTCTTCGTGTCCTTGTGCCTCGTATACGTGTTTGAATCGACGTTCTTCCCTTGTGAAAAATTGAAAAATATGAATGTCGAATTGAAAGAGCTTTCAGAACCATGTTCAACAACTACAAAGGTACGATATTTCTATTTACTAGAGTCTATTTTAAATGTATAAATGATTACAAAGCGGCCAAAGCCTGGTCGAATTGTAATCAGGCCCCAACATTTTGACAAGATTTCCAGTCTTTGGCAGGTGACATCATCCCTTGGGTATCTAAGAAGCTTTGATTCCAGCTTTAGATCACCCCTGATGAAGACAGTAGACTGGACTGTCGAAACGTTAGGTCCGGATTACAATTTGACCAGGCTTTGTGATAATTTATATAAACCAGAGTAGGCTGAGTAGCGAGCAATAACAGGGTTAAAAGGGGGTATTAAAACTGTTCCTATTACAGGATTGATTTGCCAAACTTATAAAACTTTATTTTTGTTCTAATTTACAGGTTTTGGTGCTCATATGCAGGAAGTTGCAAAAAAAAATTAATGTCCCTGAGTGTGAATTCTATGAATGCACATTTGTCATTTGAATACCAAGTCACATTAGAATACCAAGTCACATTTGAATACCAAGTCACTTTTGAATACCAAGTCACATTTGAATACCAAGTCACATTTGAATACCAAGTCACATTTGAATGCCAAGTCACATTTGAATACCAAGTCACATTTGAATGCCAAGTCACATTTGAATGCCAACTTAACTTTAAATGCCAAGTCACATTTGAATGCCAAGTCACATTTGAATGCCAACTTAACTTTAAATGCCAAGTCACATTTGAATACCAAGTCACATTTGAATACCAAGTCACATTAGAATACCAAGTCACATTTGAATACCAAGTCACATTTGAATACCAAGTCACATTTGAATACCAAGTCACATTTGAATACCAAATCACATTAGAATACCAAATCACATTTGAATACCAAGTCACATTTGAATGCCAACTTAACTTTAAATGCCAACTTACCTTTGAATGCCAACAATGAAGTTACAATGAATAAAGTTATATTAATTAATGAAGTTACATCAGTAAACAAAGTTAAGCAACTGAATGAAGTTACATCATTAAATAAAGTTACATCAATGAATAAAGATGCATTAATGAATAATTTCATATTAATGAATACAAAACGTATAACAAAAAATCCCAAAAGTATGACAGACAACAGTTTGACAGGCAACAGTCAGTACAAAAAGCACCTCATTTTGTGACCTTTTGTCACCTGTAGTGTTTCCTCACCTACAGGCGGAGTAACGCCTTGAGCAGGCGTCTTGTTTCCTTTTCGTCGTAGTCGTAGTTTTGGGCGACAGAAGTTGGCATTTCTACAGGTAACCCAAAATATTTTGACCGAGAAGCCCTGGGTTACACGGATGAATTATGTACATCAGTTGGCATTTAGGGAGGTTTGGGGGTGATTTTGTGCAATGTTTATTTTTCTTCGTGTCCTTGTGCCTCGTGTTTGAATCGACGTTCTTCCCTTGTGAAAAATTGAAAAATATGAATGTCGAATTGAAAGAGCTTTCAGAACCATGTTCAACAACTACAAAGGTAAGTTGTTAAGATTTAGATTGTATTCATATGCTGTGGCGGTAATTGCATTATTTGCATATTAGTATACCCAAGATTTTCTGTTTTATAGTTGATTTAGTGATTCACGTTGACGTAGTGTTTTAATACAAACTAGGTATATACAAAGTACTGTTTGCTCTCAGAAATTATATATACATACTACAAGTTTAGCGACCCTGCATGCTTAAGAATTCGATATTTCTATTTACTAGAGTCTATTAATTTTAAATGTATAAATGATTACAAAGCCTGGTCGAATTGTAATCAGGACCCAACATTTGACAATCCAGTCTTTGGCAGGTGACATCATCCCTTGGGTATCTAAGAACCTTTGATTCCTGCTTTAGATCACCCCTGATGAAGACAGTAGACTGGACTGTCGAAGCATTAGGTCCTGATTACAATTTGACCAGGCTTTGTGATCATTTATATAAACCAGAGTAGCGAGCGATAACAGGGTTAAAAGGGGGTATTAAAACTGTTCCTATTACAGGATTGATTTGCCAAACTTATAAAACTTTATTTTTGTTCTAATTTACAGGTTTTGGTGCTCATTTGCAGGAAGTAAAAAAAAATTAATGTCCCTGAGTGTGAATTCCATGAATGCACATTTGAATACCAAGTCACATTAGAATACCAAGTCACATTTGAATACCAAGTCACATTTGAACTTTAAATGCCAACTTACCTTTGAATGCCAACAATGAAGTTACAATGAATAAAGTTATATTAATTAATGAAGTTACATCAGTAAACAAAGTTAAGCAACTGAATGAAGTTATATCATTAAATAAAGTTACATCAATGAATAAAGATGCATTAATAAATAATTTCATATTAATGAATACACAATGTATAACAAAAAATCCCAAAAGTATGACAGACAACAGTTTGACAGGCAACAGTACAAAAAGCACCTCATTTTGTCACCTGTAGTGTTTCCTCACCTGCAGGCGGAGTAACGCCTTGAGCAGGCGTCTTGTTTCAATTATTTTCGTTTCCTTTAATTCGGTTTTACGCAAGCTGCAAGCATATATATTCGACCATATTCTACCATATTTGAGGATTCTTAAAAAAATTTATGTAGTGTGGAGACCAAATTCACTTAAGTATAAATTGCCCGACTTGTAAATACAAATTGCCCGACTAATTAATATTTCTGACTAAACTGGGGGGGGGCTGCCGCCCCCAGCCCCCCCCGCCTCGTACGCCTATGCCACCAATTGTTGTCATCTGACACCATGATACCATCGTTCAAACGGCGGCAGGAGTTTTGTTTACACTTGTAGGTGATGGTGGCCCTTAGCTTCGCTCTCTATGTATAACGTGCCTGAAAAACCTCGAAAAACTGTTGAAATCACTCATTGTTAAAGTTTGTAACTTAGACTATGTGCACACGGTAACGTTTTCGAGCGTTTTCATTTTCGTTTTCATGCCAAAACGGTTTGAAACACCGTCAATTTACAATAGAAGTTGAAGCTAACTTATAAGATAAAGCATATTTTTCCTTGGAACGTGTGGACAGGGCGTCAAAACAATAAAATGGACAAAAACGGTTTTGAAAACGCTCGAAAACGACGCTCGTGTGCACATAGCCTAAGCTTTGTTAATTTTGGCCGTTGGAGTTTGATGCAAGTCATGCAACTTATAAAATGCTAAGTAAAAAATTTAGACGGATATATTCTTAGCGTAATGGGTGTAATACGGAATTTGGGGGGAAATTTAAGGAATTTCGTCGTATCCAGAAATCCTAGTGGCTGAGAAATCAAGACGACGGTAATATGACTAATATCGAAGACTGGAAGTATGGCTGCTCCACCACCAACTCGTGATCGAACGGGTACTTTGAGTTCAAATCCCGCATTTCAAGGCGATAGTATTCTTTTTCATGGATATAAAATCCCAACAGAAGTTCGAAAAATGGTACCATACCTTACTAGCCTAAAGGTGGAAAAGTTCAAGAAGCTTTTAGAAGGTATATTTTGTTATCACGGTATCACCTTTGGTGATCTCATAATTTTCATAATTTATCCAGTATTCTTTCTCCTATATACAAATTTTCATATCAATTTTGCACGATGGCGACAGTGCTGTAATTCTGGGTACAACAATCCAGTTTGCAATGAAAGAGGTTGGTGTGCTTAGACCTCGACCTGTCTTCATTGTGCCAAGTTGATCTTGTGCACAGCATCACATATACCCATCACTATGAAAAATGAGGAAAACACCAGCACCCTGAAATCACTGGACTTACCCCCAAATACATTGTAAAATGTGCACACACCCTGCATACCAATATGTTTCTAATTTCCATAAGTTTGGGGGGCACAGATTGCAAGCCCAGTATTCAGTTGGCTGTCCAAGATTATATCTTTTGCCACAGTATTCTCACTTGTAATATATATAAGCAAATTGATAATTGTTTAAATACCATGTCAATTTATTTTATTTAGTAGTCCAACATTCTCTTGAAAATTATGAAGTTGATCAAGACATACTGTGTAGTTTGAGAGATAAAAATATTTCTGAGGAGTCTGTTCTACAAATATTTTCTGGATTACATAAAATAATGAAAGCAACATTGAGACAGACACTAACATCAATAAAGCAAGAAAACTATAAAGCTGAATTATTATCCTACAAGTAAGTTTTTGAAATGTGCACATTGAATTTTAATAATCTGTACACAAGTTGTAACTCCCTTTTAGTTGACTTGCTATTTTAATGTACATTTTGTTCTACATATTTGTGAATATTTTTTAGAATTCCTGAAAACTTTGTTAATGAAATCATGGTGAATGTATTCAAGAGGTAGGCTGAATAATAAGGGTTGACCCTAAAGTGCTGATTCAATATACAGGAAAACCTTTTCTTTGCATTACCACATGACCCAAATCCTATTATATTTTGGTGTTCAATTGACAGTTCCAACTAGTCCATATAATTTGATTATGTCATTCATGTATACATGTATTGCTAACTTGAAAAGAGTTCCCAAAATAACCTGACAGCTCATTTATAACTTTCATTGTTAATTTTTCTCTACATTTGTTTTAAAGTATATATAAAATGTGCAGTGAGTCTTTAAAACTGGAAAGGAATGTATATTTCATATATCACTTTTTTTCCTCTAGCCATACTAGGGTTGAAACTGGTGTATTAAGCAATAGGATAAGATTGCCAGGGCTGCAATCTTTGAAATGGAGAGTAGATGTGACAATATCGACCAGGTATAAAACCCTCCTAGTTTACCCACCAAAGTTGGGATAGTCAAGTGTCTCAAACTATTTAGCATCAAATGTGGTATAACAACTGCCTAAATAGACAAAACACTTCTCGACATTTCGATCTGAGGGCTTCGTAACTAACTCTCCTGACAAAGGCCCTCAGGTTGAAACGTCGAGAAGTGTTTTGTCTATTTAGGCAGTTGTTATACCACATTTGATGCTAAGTTGTTTGAAGACGCTGCCACGCTGCTCCTTGGTTTTATTGGAACTTATCTCTGTCTCAAACTATTATTAATTAAATAGCTCACTTAATCGAGTGCTGGTGCCAACAGTCTTTATGGAGGTGAAAACAAGTGATGGCAGTATAAAATCGTTTGAGGTGGGAAATTAATTTTTCTCCAGCCAATGTTGTAGGATTAGACTTGCAAGGTTGAAATCAGTTCTCCAAGACTCCAAAGGTTACCATCAAATGCATGCATATCACTATATCAGCATATGCATATATCAACCGTGATCTAAGTAATCTAACTCCAGAATGTCATCATTAACACCTGCTTTGTCTTTAGGTTCCCCTGTCAAGATTTAATGAACTGGAGTATGATGTAGCGTACGTGTTGAAAGAAATGGAAGACTTAGAAAAACGTAATATTTTAAAAATCGAAGATTAGGAATGGTTTCATCCATGTTTCGTTCGCCTTTGTAATGGAAATAATTTTATCAATATGTAATGCTATAATACATGGGTTACATGGGTTGTAATCAAAACCTTCGCAGGCAAGGAAAATACTATTTCGTGTGTGGTCACTGTGGAAACAACGCCATTAATTAATAATTTTTAATTACACAATGTATATTATAATAAGTACGTTGCGAATTTCTAATTAGAATTAGAACCTTTGGAGTACAAACTACAAGGATTTATTGAGAGGTGTTAATCGAACATTTTGAACGTTGTAAATTTTATTTTGCAATATGACGACAGGAATTCGTGTTGTTAACGCGTTAGAGGTTGGGACAGATATAGGTAAATGTTTTATTGAGCTTTGCATCGGAGATATTACAGCTTTGCCGAAACAGGACGAAGTTGATGTTCTTGTTTTATCGGCGTTTCCAGGTAACTATATATGTCCACTTTGCCAGATTTTTGCTACTTCTAACAATCTTGTACTTCAAGAACGAGAACCTTACGGGGTTGCAAACTGGGCACGGGGTTAATCGGTTGCAAAGTAAGTATGACTGCCTTCTGAAAATTTCCCAGATTTCCACCACCAAGGAGTTTTGCTAGATTGGGTTGCAGTTATGCAGTTAAAATCATGAACAGCATGTGCGTGACTGAGTAGGCTAGAATTAGAGTAAATGCTTCACCTTTTATTTAGGGAGGTTCCCCAATCCTTTTGGGAAATGTTGTAGTGTATTATTAGCTCAATGTTTGGCCACCATCAGTGGCGTAGCGCAACCGCTGGGGGCCCTTCGTCAATCAGTCATTTGTGGCCCCCCTTTGCTCCAAAAAAATTTACTAAATTCACGACTTGCGTCTACAAAAAGCACTCTTCACTTCATATTTGAATAGAGAAAAAAATATATTACTATGCTGAGATTGCGCATAGTAAATTATAATAAAATTCCGGCATAATAAAATAATGTTAACAGGCTGACTATATACCCCGTGTGCGTGGAAAGAAATTCTATTTTCCATAAATGTGTTATCAATTTTTTATGGCAATTTTTTTCGGGGGCCCTAAACCTCGGGGGCCCCCCGTCACTTGACACCCTGACACCCTGTCGTTACGCCACTGGCCACCATCCCATCTCCTTAGCTTAGCTATTGAAACATAACACGAAATGACGAAACTTAACACGCGCTAAACCAAATGGTCATTTTAATTCTGTCAACTGTCATGTGTTCCTAAAAGATATCTATTTCATCATCTGGTTTTCTGTTAATGCGACGATCTCAGTTCAGGCTCGCCTATTTATGATAACATCATGCAGCTGCATTGTCGTCAGGAAACGTCAGTCACCTGCTTTGAATCAAGCGTCCCAAACTACTGTACTGGGCCGGATTTTTCAATCGCTCTAAAATCGCCCGTTGACCGTTGTTGGCTGAAACTTTGGTTAAATCTTAGTATTCCTAAATTGAGGATCCTCTTTAATAATTGTTGCCTCCGAAGCTAAAATTTTATTGCTTTTCAAGCAATTTTAGGAACTGGTTGAAATGAATCACTACCCAGTGGATAGCGCTATCCAGCCTCCGTACAACCACCCCTGGTTATTAGTCCTCATACAACTGACCAGTTCACTCTCTGATTTCCGGTATTTTCCGGCTAAATTACTAAGCGATTGAAATATAAACGAACTGGAAAAAGCAGATTTAATTTATCAGTCAGAGTGATCTAATTTATCATTCATTACCTTGCCCCCTTGGGTAGGAAACCAAGGCGAGGAGGATAAAAAACGGATTTCATCAACTAGGGCCATAAGCATAGGCCAATAAGCCCATATAATGGCGTTCAACATTATTTCAGGTGATTACAGTCCTACACCAAGTTCTCTGATTGGACAGTTGTTGTTAAGATTGGGGATAAGTGTAAAACAACTGGCCAAAGACAAAGAAGAAGATTTAAGAAAGCTCTATTCTTGTTGGTGGTCCAAACCTTTGCCAGATCATCTCAGTTTTAGAGAAATACTGTGTTTTGAAGGAGGCTAGGAACTAAGAATAATATTTTGAGTATCTTAAACCTTTCCTACCCAGTTCCCTAAATTTGCAGTGCCTTGGTTGTAATTATGAAAGGTACGAAAATTAGGGTCAATTTCATCATCGATTGTTTCATCGTGTGTAGTCGTAACATCTCCAGAAGTGTCGGTCAAGTTGTTGGAGATGTATTCAGATGTTTGGTTCCAATTTTATCTAATAATGAAGGAAAAGTTATTATGCCGATTCTCGCGTCAGGAGACCAGGTTGTGTATGATTATTATAAGTTATGGAAACGAGGCGTATTCGCTCTTTATTAGACTACAATAGTCGAATTATTTATAAACAACACTTTGACTGTGACAAAGTCCAATGCTGTGTACGTAAAAATGCAATTACCCACACCCAACCTCGATTATAGCCTTGCCCTCCCCCCACTGATCGATGTTGAGAAGGAAACGTTGATGAACAAATGTTCAGCCTTCGCCAGACTACATTTAAATCTAGGATGAATGGAGGGAGAATTATAACGACATAAGAATAATCTCGAGTTTTTGACACAATGTCATGGATGTGTTAATTCCAACTCTCTTTTTCAGCGTAAGTCCAAGACAAAGATGCTCAAGCTTCTTGTGGATGCTGCTGTACATTGGATGAAAGCCGGCTTACCTTTGCGTTCTTTGAAAATTGTCATATTTTCCAGGAATATTGACAACATAAGCAAAGCTGATCAGCCACTTTTTGACTTATTTAAAGAATTGAAATCCAATCATGAACAAGAAGAAGAACAAGACGAGGAACAAGACCAGGTACATACATGACAAATAATCAGGCATACACATTAAGCACAGCTTATTTTGAGGTAAAATGTAATATACCTTAGCTTAATGTATCATGCAGTCTCACATATGTACTATTTGGTTTCGTTATATAGGTTGAGTCTGAAGGATACGATATTTATTTGTCCTACAGTGAAGAAGACGTGAAATGTGTTGACGAAGTAGTTGATGTTCTACTTAAGAATAGAAGCAATATCCGGGTTTATACGACCATTCAAAAACTTGATCTGGAAACATCCTGGCAAAACCAACTGTACGACATCATTAAAAAGTGCAAACGTGTCATGGCTCTTATTACTCCGTCGTTTCTCGAATCAACGCGCTGTACAGAGCAATACAATATTGCATTATGTCACAGCCGTAAAATGCAAGAGAGTGTCCTAATGCCGCTGTATATTACTGATGTGCCATATATGCCGACCTACATGGGAATCACACAGTATATTGACTGCAGGTATCAATCTTAGATTCCAAAGTATCGTTTGATATTTTTTATTTGACCTAAGCTTGAAAAAAGCCTTGCTTGCCTACAGGGGCGTACCGAGAGGTTTCCATTTGGGGGGGTGGGGTGCTCCAAGATTTACCGACGAAATCCAGCGACGAATGAAGGAACGAAGGACCATGCTTGTATGCATGCGACAATGCGGAAAATATTTATATTTTGTTTTATTGTCTTTTTTATTGTATTGTTATTCTTATGATTTGCCTTTTAGTTTTTTTTCGTCCCGTGAGAGGCGTGAGTATCCGATGGCCGTGCGATGTTTGATGCCACGAATTCAAGAATTACCGAGCGCCCTAGTTTAAAAACCGACAACTATCAATTTACCGACCATTTTAAAAAAGTTAGGGGGGTGTCACACCCCCCACACTCCCCCGCTCGGTACGCCCCTGCTTGTCAATTTTGTTAGCATACTGTACTTTAATTTTGTATTTCTTCTGCGGTGCCCCAGTCTTGAACCACTCAAGGCAAACTCCAACCTCGTTTAGGTCACCCGACACTGTCACTTCGCTTCGCTCTTAGAAGTGTGTGTTCTTTCTAATGGACCATCTAGTTAACCGTGCTTGATAACGTAATTAGGAACTTTACTTTTATATATTCATTTGATCAGTCCTAACACACCTAGAAATAAGACATCTTATCTTGCTCGGCATAGCTGTAAATGATGATATAAAATAGTTTTCCCAAAAGGCCGAAGAAATCGAAGAGAATTGAAAGTGCTAGAATTTGTGCACCTTTTTGAACAAAAATAGCCATTGATTGAGAACTTTTTTGAACTCTAAAGTGTCTCTAAATATTGCCTTTTGGTTTCCAGGATTAGTTTTCAAGAGAAATTGAATGCTGCCTGTATCACTGTTATCGGTAGTCTTAAATGCGAAACGATTGAAGTCACAACAAAAGAAAACACACCCAAACCTGCGAAACAAAACTACGATATTTTCTTATCCTACTCCCACTGTAATTCAGACCGTGCGATGCAGATTATGAAAGAGTTACGACATCAGAGACCTGATCTTAATATATTTATTGACACAGCTGAGTTAAAGATAACAATAGATAAATTAACTACAACTGCTGTTCGTGTACAAAAGGAAATGTTAACGTGTACTCACTTTGGTTTACACGCGCACCGTAATGTTGAAACTCCAAACCACCGCGAGTACGTAGATTGGGTAGCACGACTTTAGACGATGTGAAGAACGTTCGCGACGAAGAAATTTAACTTTCGATAAAGTAGACTGACGTTGAATTGACCCTCTTTCGGTCACACAACTAAACAACTGACTGCCTAAAGCATGCACCCATAAACGTAGTCGCAACTAGATTGACATGCCCTGATTGACAGTTACAATAAAAATAACTTCTAATTACGTTGATTGATGGTGCCTGTCACCATGCTTACGTTTTAAAACTAACATTCCGGCCCCTAAAGGCGGAACCAAGAGTAGCCTTTACTACATAGCAATAAAGTTTTGAAACGAACTAAGATATTCAAACAAACAAATGTAAATTAAGGTTCTGCAGCTAGGCGATAATATTGTTTATGCACTCGTCTACTTATCGTTTTTGGCGATGTCCGCTTCCTCCAGGAGTACAATCTTTGTGCCTGGTCTTGTCAGCTCGGATGTCTTGGTCTTCAACCTTACAGAGCGTACGAGCCCATCGTTTCGGTTAGGGTAAACTTCCAAAACTCTTCCCATGGGCCAGGAATTTCGGGGGGTTTTGTCGTCCAGAACTAGCACGATGTCGTTCTTCTTAAAGTTTCTTTCCTCTTTATTCCATTTCTGTCGTTTTTGCAAAGATGGGAGATTCCTTCGTCCAACGACGCCAGAACATGTCCGCTAGATATTGGATTTAGCGCCATCGCCGACCATAGATGTCTTGGTTGGAGAGAGACGCGGGTGGAACGGTGGGTCCACCTCTCAGAAGCAACAGGTGGTTCGGGGTCAGGGGCTCCATATCTCGTGGGTCGTCGGAGAGCTTGGTAATAGGTCGTCCATTCACGATTGCCTCGACTTCGCACATTAAGGTTTTAATGCCTTCGTCGTCTAACACCTGTTCTTTGATGATCCCCTGGATCACCTTTCGCGTAGTTCGAATGCACCGCTCCCATACGCCACCATGATGGGAACCTGTCGGCGGATTGAATAACCACTTGATATTTCTCTGCAGGAGGAAGTCGTGGATTTGTGACTGATTCCATTCCTTCACAGCTTCACGTAGCTCCTTTTCCCCTTTGACAAAGTTTCCGCCGTTATCGGAACGAATAACCTCAGGCTGACCTCGTCTTGCGATAAACCGACGCAGGGCGTTTATAAATGACCCTGTTTCCAGGGAACTCGCAACTTCATATGGATCGCACGGATACTCAAGCACGTGAAGAGCACCCCGTAGCGTTTCACTGTAGTGCGGCCACGTCTCACTTTAAACGGCCCAAAGCAGTCGATTCCAGTACATGTAAACGGCGGCTTCGATGGCGTCGTCCGATCTTCGGAAAGATCAGCCATTTTCTGTCGAGTGGTTGGTGCTTGTCGTTTCTTACAACTGACGCATTGATTAAGGATCGTTTTTACGGTTCGCCTCCCGTTGATGATCCAGTATCTTTGTCGTATCAGCGACAAGGTGTACTCTAAACCAGAGTGCCCAGACAGGTGATGGTGGTGCTTCACTATAAGTGCAACGACGTGGTGGTGCTTGGGCAGAATGACGGGATGTTTTGCATCATGATTATCGGTGCTCGCCTCAGGCGGCCGCCAACGCGGAGAGACCTTTGCTGAGGACCGGATCGAGGTTGAAAATCTTGCTTGACCGTTTTACTGCTTTCGCACGTCCCGGGTGACTTTGCTGCTGCTCCTCTTTTTCAATAGCTTGTTCCTCTTTGAAGGATTCGCCCTGTATATGTTTCAGGATTACGTCTTCTGCGTTTTGGATCTCTTGGACATCAATAGGAACGATTTTATTACTGAACTCGATTGCGAAAGATTCTTCAGTCTTTCGTCTCTTGCTTACACGTAGAAGCTTCGCTTTGTACCTTAACAACCACGCCATGATCCTCCTCAGGCGATCCCATGATGAATAGCGGTCGATTATTCTCGCTACCGGATTACTCGCGTCAGAACAATAGCTCGCGCACACGATAGCCCTTTGATCTCGGGATCGGCGTCGTCGACGGGCATGGCCATTTCGCTGGTCGTTTCGGCCAAAATTCTTCGACTTCCTCAGAAACTCTGGTCTTCAATCCAACGATGGAGAGACTCGACTGGCACTCCCCTTGAAGCATCGTCGGCTGGGTTCAGCTCGGTATTAATATAACTCCATTGAGCGGGAGATGATGCATTGTGAATAGCTGCGACCCGGTTTGCCACGAAGGTTTGAAATCTTTTGTCTTGGTTTTCGATATACCGCAATACGCAGGTACTATCCGTCCAGAAGAGCGATTCATCGATGGGAAAACTAAGTTCTTGGCGCGTTATCTGGTCCAGCTTGGTTGCTACGACTGCTGCCGACAATTCCATACGGGGAATAGTAACTGGCTTGATTGGTGCAAGTCTTGATTTTCCCCATCACAAACGAACTTTAACCTGTCCATCCTTGTCCTTGACTTTAAGGTATGTAACGGCTCCATACCCATGCTGCGAAGCGTCCGCAAAATGGTGAAGTTGGGTGTCACTGATTTCGCCTAATTCAGCAGGCTTGAAGCAGCGATCGACAGCAAAACAGACAAAACGACAGCGAACCCCAAAGGATCGTAAACTGAACTAACGATCGACAACATACCTCTTCTCGTGGCAGGCCGGTCTTTGATGACGATCTTAAAACCAAATTTGTCCGATGTTATATTCCATTGGACACCGAGCGCTCTTTCCATGGACCAGCAATCGAAGTCGAGATTTTTGACTACTGAAGCTCGTTCTGATTCAGGTAAGGATTCGACCACCTTTCTTGGATTGGAGAGCCATTTTGTGAGCTTGAATCCACCTCGCGCAAGCAACTCGCGTAGCTTTTTTGCAAGATCGACTGCCTCTTCTTCTTCCCTGACTGACTTCAGGCAATCATCAACGTAAAAGTTCTTTTCTACCGTTTCGATTACCTTAGCGTTGAAACTTGTCTCGTTATCTTTCGCAGTTCTCTTGAGCGCAAAGTTTGCGCAGCTCGGAGATGATGCGCCGCCAAAAAGATGGACTCTCATTTCATATTCCTCCGCCTCCTTAGAAAGGTCGCCATCAGGCCACCACAGAAACCTCAAAGCATCACAATCTGACGAAGGGACGCGCACCTGGTAAAACATAGCCTCGACATCTGCGATCATTGCAACGGGTTCCTCTCTGAACCAAGTCAGCACGCCGACGAGACTGTTGGTGAGATCCGGCCCCTGTAGCAACTGGTCGTTTAGTGAAGTGTCCCGATGTTTTGCCGAACAGTCGAACACTACTCGAACCTTGTCAGGCTTCTGTGGGTGAAACACTGGATGGTGGGGCAGATACCATTGGGTTTCCAGAGGTCCGGTTTCTTGACTAGACACCTTTCTGGCGTAATCTTTAGAAAACAGGTCGTCCATGAACCTTTTATACTTCTCAAGCAAGGATTGATCGTGCTGAAGTCGTTTCTTCAGCGAGCGAAGGCGTTGTTCTGCTTGCGATCGGTTGTTTGAAAGTGGTGGTGGGTATGTTTTCCATGGCAATCCAATTTCGTAGTGGCCGTTCACCAGTTTAGCTGATTGTTCCATGAGTTTCAGTGCTTTCTTGTCGTTCTGAGACATGGTCGGTTTCATTTCGTGGGTAACATCATCAAATTCCATGTTACAATACTCTTCAAACCGTTGATTGAGATCTTGATCTGCTTGGATGCCATTCACTATAGGGGGGCTGCTACCTTCTCGCCCTAGCGGTCCGTTTAGAACCCAACCTAGCAAGGTTCTTGTGGCAAAGGGTCCACCGTTCTCACTTGTTCGTACTTCGAGAGGTTGCAGTATCTCTGGAACGTCACTGCCAATCAGAAGACCAATCTCAGCATCGATATGCGGTAAAGAGATACCCTGTAGGTGTGACCAGCGCTCTACGTCCTCTTGTTTCCCGATACATTCCGAGCGGACAGGTAGGCTCGGCGTTGAATAAACCTTCGGCAACCTGACATGATGTTGATTTTTCAGGTCGAAGACTTCCAGCTCGACCACGGAACATGCGATTGGAGTGCCTTTTCCCAGCATCGTTGTCAATGTGAGATTGGTTCTCTTCCCCTTGCGCCTTAGTTGCCATAAAAGATTCTCTGTGCAGAACGAGGTATTCGACCCAGAGTCTAAGAATGCATAGGTTTCGACTTCCACAGATCCTTCCTTCGCCTTCACTTTTACCGGAACGATAGCGAGACCCGTCACCGATGGACCTTTTGATTGGTTAGAGGGGGGTTGGCACCTTACATAACCGTTGACGTTACGTGCTTGAGTTGATGGATCCTTACATTCTTCGTCCTTCGTTTGCTCTGCTTGAGGGTTTGTTCTCTTATAGTCCTCTTTATCGATTTGGGTAGACTTTGGGTGTAGAAAGGTAGAGCGTTTCCCTGTACAGCCATCGACCTTGCAGAAACTTTGCTTAGCACATGAACGAACGAAGTGACCACTGGTTAGACAATTCAAGCAAAGTCCCTTGTCTTTCACGTACTTCTTCCTTTCTTCTAGCGACAGTTTCCGGAATTTATCGCAACGCGACAACCAATGGTTTGCGTTACACGGACACACATTCTTGCTCATGTTTTGTTGAAGAAATCAACTGGGATACCATTTTTACCGCTGAATTTGAACCCAATAGTGAAAGCGAAGACAGCGAAGGGAGCTATAGTAGCGATGAGTGTTCAGGAATTGAAGAAAAACTGTTTATCAGCGGTATTTATATTTTTATTTGTTTGCAAGTATTGAGATACAAAATTGATGATTTGATATTATCTAATATGTTTTAGTATTTTCACATTAAAACTGTGTACGTTTTAGAGTTACTCACTCTTACAATTTATATTACAACGTATTTATTTTAATTTTATTAACTTTGCCATATTATCAACAATGCATGTGTTTTTATATTGTACAGGTATGCAGGAAAAAAAATCTACAATTTGTTTTAATAATTGATAATTAATACTACACACTATGATACTATATAGCATACTTCATCTCAAATTAAATGGAACTGTATGTTCTGAAGGCATATTTATTACTGAATTAAATCACAGGCAATCGAATAGAATTCTATTTGCTTGTCTATGATTAAATATATACAGTATGACCACATCACAGGCACTACAATATCTTGCAGTATTTTCAGAGAACATATATTAATTATTATAGTAATACACTGGAAACAACCCGATAACATTAGCATGTCATTTCTTGCAGACAAGGCAGTTTCAACAAAAGTACAGGATGGTGTAAAGAAGCTAGACAGTGACAAAGAAACCTCTGCTTCTGGTAAAATACATTACAAATGATACTCTGTCAACTAGAATTTTGTATCTACAATCAGTGACATAATTATTGGACTATTTGATTGTCTATGCACTGATATGGATATAGGTACATCACTAGGGGTATCACTCTTGTAGCCCTGAGAACGAGTTTATGAATAAACTTTCTGTTTCAACCTAAAGCTTTTGTAGACATGAATGTAATATGTATATTTGATGTAATATTGTAAATATTTAAATTATTTTACAACAATTAATATATTAAATTTTCTTAATGATTATTGATAACATGATTAAATTGCATATGCAGCGAATTTTTTATGATTGAATTGCAAAGTTAATTTAAAATCACAATATATATAATTTCTTTTCTAAAATTTTGTTAGCTTTTTGTATGTCAAGATATAGGACCTTCTTTGATGTACAAATGTAACTCAAATGGCATCACACTGCATTATATGATTTCTAAGAAGACTGTGTTTTAGACTTATAACTTAATAAAATTGTCATTAGCCCAAATTTGAAGATGAAGTGATAGCTCTTACAGTATATAACTTTCAGTGTCGGTAGATTATAGACTCGGTAAAAACAAGGAAATTTTTATAACAACACACAATCTTTAACGCATAATTTTAGAGTTATATTTTTTACCAGCTCATTGTTTTCTTTGTTCACATGTACATCCAGCACTGTGCCTGTGGTAGTGTTTTCCTGGTCTTGTTCAATTTTTTTTCTGAAAAACCTTTTTTTATAGAATATCCTTTCTTGTATAGCATCTTCAAAAGTAATTGCAAAGTACTGCCTTAATTTAAGGTTGTATGTGTATACTTGCTTATGTTATTACAGTAACTTTTAAAAAATGTTTAATATTCTGTAAAATATAATTTTAATTAGTTGATTTATAATTGCTGTTCGTAGACGTATGGTCACAATCATATTACATTTTTTTCTGAACAGAAAATCGCACAGCAATGAATTAACTATAGTTTCGTAGCTTAATGACTGAAGAATTGTTTTAGCATAATCCTGTTGAAGAAAACACACTCGCGTTTAAGATACAGGGTTCCAAATGTGACCCTTGTTTCGATAATAATATTGTGTTTTTTGTCGCGTGCGTAATTACTAAATTCCGTATCACAACACTTTGCTGGCTATATTTACGAAGTTTAGAACCACAAACGTACTTATTTTATGATGGTTTTGTAGTTAAGTAATCAAAGAAGCGGTATAAATAAATAAAAATGAATTTCATGAAACAAATTTTAATATATTGAGTTACTTTTCACCTGGACATCGACAATAACAATGTCGATCGGCGATTTTTGCAAAAACAACCAAAAATTATTTGATCGGATTTATTGTCAAACAGGAACGTAAATAGCTACAACTTTTTTATGCGTTTCGTTTACAAGACGTTTAAGAATAGTAATATTTCCTTACACAATCGTAAAACATGATGGTTCTTGAGTTACAGGGTTTCAAAGTTTTGCAATTTACAACACTGACCTTACGTGCGCCATTTTAAAAGGTATCGCTTGCTAGCGGCTGCAGTTTTTGCTACTATTTACTATAAAAGTCATATTTTTTTAACATAATAACCTTATATAGTACTCAACTTTGCATACGAAGTCTAATTTTTTTCTACAAAATCTGTATTTTTTAAAAAACGCGCTATAAACAAATTTTAAATTATGTAAATTTCATGTTTTTATTTGGCCCGTTTCCTGAGCAACGCGGCAATTGATTCGTGATAACCCATATCACGGATAGGCAACACTGACATTAGCGCTTTACACTGGCGTTTCCAGTCCATTCCCTTCGATAGTCTATGGTCAAACTAACCATAACATTGGGTGGAACGATTCAAAAGTCATTACCACTAATGATCGTTGGACAAAGGCGTTGTTTGGAAGCCTGGCATATTAATGCGAGTCTTTGTGCCCTTAATAGGGATGACGGAGGCTATTTCCAAAAGAATATTTACATCTGATTAATAGATGACGTCATTTTGAGAGTATATAAGGAACCGAGTTTCAACATTAGATCACCCTGATGAAGACACTAGACCGCAGTGTCGAAACGTTGGGTCGTGAAGTTAATCTTGTGTGAATACTTTCATTTACTAAAGAGTAGGATGATACAAGATGTTGTATTCATGATCTGTTTTCTTATTATCGTCTCATTTGTCTTATTGTTAAGCTCACAGAGACCTTTATCTTTATCAGACGTAGTTGATTGCACATGTTCCATGACGAGCGCAAAGCAAACCACATTAAAACTGGAACTCAGCTTGTTGTGTTTCGATGGTATGATTCACCAAGTATTTTTGCTTGCGAAAGACAGCTTCGTTTGAGCACTAGCTCAGCACGAAAACGATGAACGAAACAGCAAATTTAAAACTATAAATTGACACTTTTATATATATTATCAGAACATTTACATGCATGACCTTAATGAGGCCGAGTCGACTTTGTCTAGAAACTTTAGTTGTTCCCTATACACTTGCATGTGTATAAGTAATACTGCAACTATAGCATTTTATAAAATAAGTATTCAACATGCAGCATTAGATTGAGTTATAGGGCTGGGATAATCGATATAACACACAACACCTATTTATACAACAAAATTCCTTCGCAAAAGACATGGTAAAATGTATTAAATGGGCATACACATAAGTTGCAAAAATTGAATAGACAAAAATTTTAGTCAATAATAAGCTGTTTAGTTACCCGTTTTAACTGGACTTAAAATCACCCTAACAGAGCAACCACCCAAATTGAATGGAATTCTTTAATGCCGAACCACTTTATTTTTGAGGTCTTTCTTTACTTTTCTTGGAACGTTACCCGGGCTATATATTTGCGTGAACCCTGCGAACCTTAAAACAAATACAGCAAAGACGACGAAAAACGGAACCGCAATGCTTCATACGACGCACGTGTGATATAGGCTTATGCATAGACATAAGCAAACGAATGAATAAATGCATAGGTTTGGATTCTATTCTGCATGTTGATGTTTTCCTGGGTTTTTCTTGTATTTTCTTTTGTCTGTTTTGACTAGTCTGATTTTTTCTTTTGTCTGTTTTGTCTAGTCTGATTTTTTCTTTTGTCTGGTTAACGGATAAAAAAGATCGTTCAAATACCTTACAGTTTGTTTATTTTTTCAACCAATAGAATCATGTAAAATATACAAAACAATGACGAATACAGGGACCACTGTCATCCCGCATCGTACGAAATATTTTCGATCAAAAACTATAAAAATATTCCCGTATTTTGTCATGTTAAAAGTAGTTTTAAATCGTAATTCGCATGTAAGAAACGAAGAAAATTATCAGAGATTAGTTTACTATATTTTTTTATTAGTTTTGGTCAATATAATTGATGTATTTTGTCATAGTCTAAGTGGTAAGTTTCGTAACGTAAAAAAGAGCTTCCTACCTTATGTAATTATATATTATACATTACATTGACAAATTGCCGAAAAATTCTTCGCGCGAAAAAATATCGCGCAATTTTGGGCCGCCTATGCTTGAGGCTACCAATACAAAGCCCGGTCACGCGTGAAATTGATCCATCTTCATTGTCTGGTTTTATATCTCTGTGCCGAAAGCCCTGTGACAATCAGTTTTCCGTCGAAATTTGGTTGTTCTCGGGGGGTTTCTGTTATAGAAACAGCACTGACTCGTGGATATTATGCAAGGTGTGAAGTTTTTAATCTAGCTGTTACACTTTTGATAGAAATTTTACTTGTTATATTGTCTTTTGCATTTGGATACAGCGTGTGACATCTTCATTTGTTTTGGATGTCGTTAGTGACATATCAGGCACCGCGGAGCGTTTTTCGTATTGCTGGGCCTCGGAACCGCGTGCCTGCTTCGTAGGATACCATGAAAAAGTCGTAGCTATAATTATAGGAAGATAAACAATGCATTGATTAAGTGTCTATTGAAATACATCGCATTGGAAACTGAATTGTGTATCATTACAATTAAATAAATATATTGTAGAACTATGGAGTCAACGTCCATGCAATAGGTATAAGAGATGAAAACATATAAAGAGTCACTTAAAGCAAGCGACTTTACCGCAAGAAATTCAGCTCTCTTTCTGAAAACTTTAATTACTTTTCAATAAGAGGCGGGAAAATTTCAAATACTACAAGCATGCATTATGGCATAATGCACGCGCGTTAACCTATGGAATTGCTCGTTATATATCAAACTTATATTATAGCTAATAACATGCATCTAAAAATTTATCAATTGACATGAAAGAGCGAGGCCAT